TTTTCTCTGTCACGGTCTGTGGAGGGGGGGGGGGGGGGGGGGGGGTGCAAATTTCTACCCCTAAACATTTCAACACTCCTTTCAGATCGTGTTTCACAAAATTCACAAATGATTGATTCATCTCAGTCAATCTTCATATGCACATGCCCTAAAGTCAAGTTTTCCTACTAAACAGGATTTTTTTTTCATTACAATTACGAACTTTGAGAAAAGCCATGCAGTTAAATTGGTAGTGGTCTATAAACTTCTGAAGCCTTTGAGGTTAGAGGCCCATAAGATCGCTGATTAAAGCGTCAGAAGTGAATTCTTGTTTTGCCTTGGCCGTTTACAACAACCACAATAGGAGCACATTTATATTTCATAGACTATAGAATTTCATCTGTCAACATAGTTCATTTTGTCTTCGATGGAGACTAGTTGGCATTTTTTGGCGCTTTACTCATGAACAAGTAGACAGCTATTGAAGCTCTAAGCGCAGTGTTGGCCTCTTCTCTGAAGCTTCGACACAATGATTTACTAATAAACCACCTTTTCGAATACTCTTACATCACCCTTCTGAATAGTTGAACTCCTCTTCAATATAATCTTTGAATGACAGTTTTTTACGATATCTATCAATTTTTATCCTGTACATCTTGCAACTCTCAATAGATTATGTTTTAACGGTTAAAGATAGAGTATCTATCCATGAAGCTTAGAAAAAGACTCCTAAACAAAATAATCCAAAAGCAGATTACTTAAAAAAATTACGATGAGAGAAATGCCATCTGGCCTTCATTTCAATGCAAAAATGTGCAAGTTTAGAGACACGTCTATTTGATAACAGTTCAGCATTCGTTCAGAATAAGAATGTATATCGTCGGCAACAATCAATCGGTGTAATTTGACGCAGGTCTAATTTAATACAAATGTATGTAGACTGCAGTCTATGTCGAGGATTGAGAAGTTCCAAAAAGAGTATCTCTGCAAAGTTTCACCTGACACAAGCGTATGAATCCGAAAATCAAGAGGGATTGGAGACCTTTGCCAAGTATTGTAAAAATAGGATCATTTTTGAGCTGTACGAAAATTCGTTAGATACAAAAGTTCACGATTAGCTCGGATGGGGTGCTGGAACTATTTTTTAAGCGGAACCAGTCCCTGTATCTTCAAGTTATTTACTTGAACTATCTATTTAGCCTTCTCAACAACAGACAAGAGACACCCCTCAAATTTCAAGAAATCCGGGTTTCAATGTATTGACTCATAGTAATAATCGCCATCAGCAAGAAATCATGGATCAGTCTGATGGAACAGTTATTTGGCGAATAAAAGATATGCCGGAAGAATCAGGTAAATATTTCGAAGTATTTTGTGTGCTTTGATCTCTTTCTCTACTGCTTTTCATTAGAAAATACAAAGACTATCTTTCTTTTCTGAGTTACTCGAAACTTG